ATTACTCCAATGCGTTCGATCAACGGACATCGTGGTAATCGCCGGACTTCAACGCTCAAGTGGGATCCCTGGATGAATCGGAAAGGCCTCTTGGTGGACCACATGCAATCCCAGCCAATCGGACGGACAACGGCGATAGCTTAGTTCAACTCTGTGCCGACCATGAACTGTTCCTGTCAAGCACGAACTTCTCGCACAAGAAACGACACCGCCTTACATGGAATCCGCCAACCACCTTACAGCGCTGGACCCTAAATTGAACACATCGCTATCAGTTATCGCTGGAGGGGATTGGTTCAAGACTGTTCCTCTTACTGGTCAACGCCTGTGGATACGGACCACGCTTTGCAACGAGCCAAATTCTCCTTACGCCCAGGAAACAACCGTAAAAAGGCCACCGAAAAAAGCGTACCCACGATACAACGTCAGCAACTGATGCTAATCAGCCTTTGAAGTGGAACTCTCCGATTGCCTGTAAGTTGAACCACCAGCAGAAGGAATCAATGAACACTGGAAGCAAATAAAGTTAAACAAATCTCGTCAGACAAGCACGCAGCCTCAAAACACAAACGATGGATCTCATCGACTTCGGCTACCCTGCGGGACGCCCGCAGAACCCTACCTCCCGATGCCGCATATGACAGTGCGCAAATCCCTCAAACACCAGCTCATCAAGAGTCTGAGGAATGACCGCGAGAAATGTTGGATGGGAAACTGTAGAGAGATGGAGAAGGCTATTGGAATACGGGTCCTAGGAAAATAAGCGTAAGTGAGGTAATTAGGAAACCGATGGCACACTGTAGGACCGTCAGCAACGCCGTCTTGATCGATGGGTTGAACAGTTCGGGGCTCCGTTCAACTGGGACCCATCGACATCTGAATTATCACCCTTTACCGCGACTGCGCAAATTCTGCCAGTTGATGCCAGTCCTCCATCTGAAATAGAGGTTTCACGGGAAATAAGCTGTCTCAAAAGGCATAAGGCCTCCAGCCCAGACGGGCTCTCCTCATCCGTTTTTAAGGATGGAGGTTTAGCATTGATTTCGATGTTAACGAAACTCCTAGGCTCAGTGTGGGAGAGAGAACAAGTTCCAGCTGAATGGTGTGAATCCGTCATGATACCGATTTACTAGAAAGGTAACAGATCCTCGTGTGAAAACCACAGAGGAATTAGTGTAATCAACATCATCTCTAAACTTCTTGTCGGCATCATACTCCGTCGATTGTCTGCCGCAAGTGAACGGTGCACGCGTGAGAACCAGACTGGTTTTAG